AGGTTAATCTTATGTTCATAGATTATTATTTGCAGAAGAATGTGAAAAACCATGTAAGTAGGCAGTACTAATGCCAAGTTTGTGTGGAGGACGGATCAATAAATCCCTTCAGTTGGTATGCACAGGTTAGTAGGCATCTCAATTCAACGTAAAAAATAGTTTATGAAAATGTAACTTTGTGGCAACCTGACACTTGCAGGCAACCCTATCAAAGCACTGTCTTGATGCAAAAGCTACAACCACCATGAATAAAACAAATCCAGTATTCTCATTTATCAAGTGCTCTTGGTCCCTGTGGAATAACTGGCTGAGGATCCCACTGGGGTCCCTTGGATTGGACTTCTTGTAGCCCACCCATGCCTTAGGTAACACAGCTAGATTACTCATATTGTTCAGCATGCTGCTAAATACCTTGATATTGAAATAACATTTGTGAGACCCAGAAAAGTGCTGTACCCTTCTGATCCTCCCTTCTTTCAGTCCCAGAGCACACATTCTGGGTTTTGTGAAAACAAAGTAAAAATTCATTAAAGATTCAGAATGGGGGGAAAGTTGGTCAGATTCTGAGCACAAAACAATAAGCAGTTCAAACTAACAATGCAGTGGCACAAAACAAGTAGAAAAAGAAAGACGCAGTCTAGCTAGCAGCCCTGTGGAGACTGCCTGTCTGGTTCTTGGAAGACCCACTGTGTCTGTGATAAACTTCCCCTAGTGCTTATGTCAGGTCTCCCCATTTTGTTTGGGGGAAAAACTCTACCTGGGCACCTGTATTCATGTGCTTGCTTTACGCTCCCCTCCTTCCTGGGAGACTAGCTCATGGCAGTTGTGTTGGAAAACAAAGATTCCTCGCCAACTTCCTTTTCCAGTGCATTATATTTCCTGTAATTCCTCCTTCCTTGCATGGGTGTAGATACCAAAACAATATATGTTCACCCATGTGTGGGATGGGGTAAGAGGACTGCTTAACCTCTGGGAATGGCTGTCTTCAGTCTGGCAAGCAGCAGCAGCTGTCTTTTCTAGAGGCATGACCTACTTTTGCAGGATGAGGACTGGCGCAGTGGCCCATTTAGTGCCCATTTTAGGCCTGTTTCGGCAGGAGGATTATAGTTTATGGCTAGCAGCTGGTAATTGCTGTATTCTGCCACAAGCTTCACCTGCAAAAGGCAAGGTTTTTGCATGTTAACAGTTTTTGTTCTCTGTGGGTTTCCTCAAGAGTAGTGAGACTGTTGGCAGATCTGCCCCACCCTAGCTATATTTATTTGCTGGGGCCTAAGGCAGGTTTTTAGCCTCTTAGACAAAGACTAGAAGGATCTGACTGAATAAAACCTGCATTTCTGGCAGTTCCTTTTAGAGGCATGGGATGTTTATGTGTGTGTGCTACTACTGGTATGTATTTTCTGTTCTTGTGTATCTTCTCCCTATGAATGCTGGGCAGAGAGATCCTTTAATTTATGCCCGATGCCTTGATGTGAGTGATGTGCTACTGAGGTGCTCTTTTAGCAGGAATTGCCTAACTAGAGATAAGAACTCTAGCTGAATAGTTTCCTAGTGTCATATGGATACTGGCAAGAGCTGATCCACTGTATTTTTTTACTGACAGACTGGATATGGAGTCTTTAATCTTTTAGTAGATACAACTTTATAGTATTATGTATAATTTTATCACTTGTTTCAATAACTGTGGTTGCCTTTTAGTTACGATCTGTGAATTATGTGTGGGTGGGCCAATTGCTCAGGTGCTCTAGGGCAACAGGCAATATGGCACTGACAGGGAAAAATATTGTTGCAGGAGAAGGAGAAATTGTTGTCTACAAACTAACTCTTAGAAGGTTATCCTAATAAGTTGGAGACCAGTCTGTGCCACACACACTCCTTTTACTGCTTCTTGTAATGCCAAGTCAGGCCATAATAAAAGTGCAGTCCTGTCTAATTTGGTCAGGGATGAGGGTGCTGGCATGGCCTGTATTACAAAGATCTGGCTGGGAGAAGACGGTGGTCCTATATGGCCTTTCAAGCTGGCTATTGTATTGTGATGCAAATGAGAGAAAGTAGGCAGGGAAAGGTCATGTGGCTGTGATCTGTAAGAATGCCTTCTCGTTGACGAGATAACCTGTTCAGGAACTGGTATGCTGTTGAGACTGGGGTTCAGGGACAGACTTGGGATTCTGCTAGTATGTAGACTGTCTTGTTACCTAGCAGAATCTCTGGCTGAATTTTCAGAACTGGTGTTGGATTCCACCTGGCTGTTAATCTGGGTGATTTCAATATCACTGTTGAGTCCAGTTTGTCAGGTGCTACTTATGAGTTCATGATTACTATTAGAGTCATGGGCCTATCCAGTATGTCTCTGAACCACCACACACTCCTGATATTACATTCAGTTCTGAACAGTTGGTTCTGAAGATTGAAAATTTGTCTTTCTCAGTCTTGCCTTGGTCAGGTCATTACCTGGTCAAGGCTAAGATCACAGCCCTTTCTTTGTGCCCCTGCAGAAATGATGAACCTATTGGAATGGTTGACTCTTGAAGCTGCATAGATCCAATAGGTTTCTAGTTAGCCCTAGGGATTGTTTTGCAAGTTCTGCCAACAGTCCTGTTGAGTCACCAAATATAATCAGAAGAGGGTTGGGACATTACACACAATTGCTCCTGAGTGTCCTTTCCATCTGGTTTCCAAAAGACTTCCCTGGTATACCAATAAGCTCCAAGATACAAAGCACAGAGGACCTGCTGTTTCCTCTGTGTCATAATCTATTAGAAATGCATCCATTAGAAATTGCCCTGGAAGTGCAAAAATTCTTAAGAAATGAAAATTGGAGTGGAATATTAGTACTATCTATAGTTAATGGTGATAATGAGATTCTGAGAATGGATTGCCCACAAAATCTATGTGTCATGGGGAAATTTTAAGTGGAATTCTGTGTATCAATATGTTTTATTGATTGATTGATTGATTGATACATTGATTGAATTGATTTACTAGTATATCTAGGATCTTTCAAGAAGAGCAGCTTTCTAGAACTCATTTTGAAATTTTCTAAGGAAATAACTGGAGCATTAAAAAAGGAACTCTTAAGATATTATTAATCCTTCCAAAGGCATTTTCTTCAAACCATCCAACGGGTAATAGAAAAACAAACTCTTTTCCAGTCAACATATCCAAGCTTTTTGCATTGTCCTTACTCTTGGTATTTGGGTGCTTACCCTTACCAAAAACCAAGGGTAAGAAGAACAGAAACAGCTTTTATTGTAAGATGGATATGTTGATTAGGAACTAGTTTATTTTGCATTATATATATGAATGGTTGGAGAAAACTTATTGGTGGGATTAACAATCTATAAGTCTTCACAAACAATGTATATATTTTTGCCAGTTTACTCTTCAAACATGAGTGATTTTTATTACTTTCAATTAGCATTTGCCACTTTTTTTGTTATACAATAATTTTTCTATGGTTTTGTGCTTATACACTTTACAGTGCAATCCAGTGATGTCCACTCAGAGGGAGTTACAAGATTGTGTGCCCAGAGAGTCCAAGGTGCACAAGATTGTGTGCCCAAAGGGTTCATGCTTAAAGTGGAAGCATGAATTAGACAGGCTGTAGCTGAAGAAAACTATTATTGGAAAGGAACAAAAAGAGGAAGCATTGCTTTTTTTCCAGCATGAAGCCAATTCTGAATAGATGTCCTACATCTGCATTTAAATTGACAAATTCTTGTCCTCTTGCTTGTTTTGTTTGTGGAGTCTTCTTTTCATTTACTGTTGTTACTGGCAAGTTAAACACATCTGCAACATTTAAGTCATAGATTAATTGTAACCATGTAGGGAAGGGGAAATAATAATTCCAGTGCTTGGGACAGACACTGGACATTCCAGTTATTTGGATAGATCCAGTGTTTCCATACTAGAGCATAAAAATATTTCCAGGCACTAGAAATAGCTGCTACCTTATGATACTACGTCTCAGAAGCCAAGTGACTTAACAGAAACAGAGATTTGACTAACTACAGACTAAAAGAAAATGTGTATAGTAAATGCTTACCTATGCTTAGTCATTTACTTGCTTTCAAGAGTCACATTACGGCCCAGTGACTCAACTCCTCCTTGCAGTCATTGGGAAATTTAAAGGAAGAAAAGGCCACTTAAATTCCTGTAGTATAACAATTCATCCATTTGTAAGTTCGTGCTGGTTAGGGAGCAATGCGTCAGTCCAAATCTGTACATGTTTGTCAATTCCCAGGATGTTTCAGATTTTTGAGAGCAGTTCAAATACAATAGCTACTATGCTGAAACATGCATTGGGCATGGCAAAGAGTGAGCAAGAACATTAAGAGCACTGGTTGAGGGATCCCAACCTGGATTAAGACTGAAAGACTCTGTCTCAGAAGCCAACAAGGGTGACAGTGCAGAAATTTGATGCACTTTGGTGTAAAATGCAGGACAGTACCTAAACCCATATTTACTGTTTATATGTCATGCCACAGTTTTAATAAGATATTCATAAAAGTACAAAAAGCATTTTGTTGAATTCTGATGAGCTGGAAATTATCACCTAATCTTCAAGTATTATAACAGGGTGGTTTATAATAAAATATTAAAATATCATCAAATAACTTATAAACTAAAACCAGCAAATCTGTAAAAACATCAGCCAAATTAAACAGGTTAGCAAAAGTTTAAATAATGTTATTGTAGAAATACCATTTTGCATGAAGCAAAAAAATGCCAGACCCTTAACATCATAGCCAGGATAATCTTACTGGTATTTATTTCATCATTTGCTATATTATTACTCCTTGTTATATAAATTTATTGTATACAGTAATATATTACTGTATATTGTACAATATATAATGTAGATTGCATTCCTGTTCTAATGCTCAATAAATTAAAAACAACAAATTTGACTATTCCTTTATTAGCTGATTTTGTAAACAGTTCTTCTGACTGGATGACTTTTCCTTATGTCAATATGGCCTTTATCTCATCTTTCCTTTCAGCTGGATTCCAAAAGTACTTACTGATGACATGATCCCTGTTCATGGGTTTGCATCCCTGTAATACTTGGACATGTGAGTTGTCTGTACCTTGTTTTCCTATTGAATCCCACATTTTAAATTGTTTTATCTTAATGTAAAACTGGCTAGACCTAGTTTTGGATTTGTTCCAAAGAGTGTTACACTTGTAATGTTACCTAGATTGTGGCAAAGCAGAAGTCCTAGTACCAGTAGTATTGGTAGGTAATTCAAGGGCTGCTTATTCTCTATGCACTTATACAACAGTGCTGGGGAGGGGAAAATATGGCAAACTTGCATTATAAGGTAGAACAAATTATCATAATAGTCTTTATTAGTCTTGAAGCCTATGAACCTATTGCACTGCAGACATAAGTATTAATATGTTCTCCATTTTGCATGTTAATGACTGCATGCCCTTTTTCCAGCCAAATTTTTGAGTATGCATTATGTGGAAAATTAATCTTTCTGAAAGTAAAAATACATACAGATCTCAACTTTCAAAGTCTAAGGTGCTTTGTACATCTCAGTATATGACAATATGTTAACAAATCCTCAGTCCAATGCCTCTGTCAGGTATGTTGTAGTCCTCCATATGTATTCCTGTCATTTTCACTCGCTTTATGAAAATGATATCCAGTGCAAATTCTTAAATTGTTCCCTTGGTAGGAAGTTCCCTTGTTGATGTGTCAGTACAAAATTCCTGCATCGTTTATAGAAGAAAATAGATATTTCAAGGAGCCCATGCATGTACTGTTGTTGTTGGGGGAAGTGGGGTGTTGGCAAATTCTAGAAGAGGTTATGTTAGTCTGAGGCCATAAAACTAGGAATCCTCCTAATACTGTTAAATGTATTTTGGCATAACCTCTTAGATTATGAAATAGACACTTCAGGAGCATGTGCATTTATAAAATACATGAATGCACCAGCCCTGCAGGACTGGGATCACACAGTTGCAGATGTGTGCTGTTCTGTATTCCTTTGACAGACACATAGAGGTTGAGGGCAGGGCTAGCAGGCAGGATATTTCTCTGCAGTGTGTAAATTAAGCCAGCAGATTTGAAGGTGAGAAAAGGGCCATGCAGAAATTGTAACCGACATGCACGAATCAACCAGCTATTGAACAAGAGTCAATCAAAAATTACTGTCAAGTATATAGACAAGTCCAAGACCACCCTACCATTGTGGGCTGCGACTATGTAGTGATAATTACTGTTTATACTCTTAAGAAAACAAATCAAAAGCATGATTAAAGCCTAATGAAATGAACTTCAGGTCAGCAGCCTCATTCTCTATCAGCCACTGAATACCACTCTGTTTGAGAACTTTGAACTGATACAACTGCATTCTAATATGCAGTCTGTAGAGGCATGCAAAAAAACCCCCAACCCTATTCAGATAGTAAACTATGATCACGAAGATGGTTGAATTTCTATGCATATTTGTTGCAACAAACAGAGTTCATGAGCAGCCCCACTCCCAATTATTCAAAACATGCTTTTTAAAAATAGATATGCCAAAAAGGGCTACTAGAATAGCCTTAAAATGCATTTGACAGTGGAAAGACTAAAATTCATTTTCCAGAGAAAACATAAGTTTGGAGGAATAGAGATTGACAGAAGTATTTCTATTGGTAAGGTATTTTTTCTAAAGTTTAGACCCAGTAAGAAAATACATGCATTCTGTTTAGTGTTTTCACACAGTGCGCCTTTTAAAACCAATAGCATCATGGCTTTTCTGCTCTTACTGCAAGCATCCTTCTATACTCCTTTAATGTAGTATTCTCTATTGCAAATTTTGTATTAAAAAGAAGTTTTCTGGTGCAATTGAACCACAATCTTTCTTATTTATTTATTTAATTTCTACACTGCCTATTAGCCAGTCATAGCTGTACCAATTGCCAAATGTGACGTGGCCTTAGTTTAGCAATCTCTCAGTCATTTAAAACTGGGAAAAGATTATCCTCAAGGTTTTGTAAAACTCAGTAAACCTTTTGACAACTGCTCTAAATTATACATTTGTAGTAAATCTAGGTTTTCCACATGTGGTACTTGTGCTTTTGGCAGCATCTGGGGGGAGGGGGTGTTTGTTTGTTTGGTTGTTTACTGATCTTAAAGAACATGTATTGAATCCTGAGTTGCCTTTCAGTCAACCAACCCTTTATGCTTTCTGTTTGATCAAGACCCTGAATTAAATTAGATTATGGGATAGTCTTTTTGTAAACTTTTTTTTTAAAAGAAAAGGTTCTTGTCACAAGACTGCCCTTGAGATTTTCACCCTATCAGTTGAACTATCAGGGCTGGAGCAGGGTACATGGAGAGCTGGATCCAGCTCCAAAGCTTAACTTGTTCAAGTTTTAGACTCAGCAAAATGCTGCAACCATCAGACAATTGCAATATAAGCAGCTGTGTGACTCAGTCCCAGAATGATCCCGTTGGCAGTCAGTGGCTGCTGGACAGGAGGAAAGGTTTCTTCCCCTTCCTGTCTCTCAGAACTGGAAAGGGAGTCTTATGTGTGACCACCCAAGAAGAAAGTGTTACACTTGCTGAGGCTGAAGCTGATATTTTTCAATTGTCTGAAGAAGAATTGCTAAGCAATGGCAAGGTTTGAGAACTCCTGTCCTACCACGAAATGTTCTCCCCTTCTGTTGAAGCATCTCCTAAACCACAAGAGCAATAAAATTAAACTCTTTTCCATATCTGGCACCTATTTAGGCCTGGATACTATGGCCGTTCAAACAAGTCAAAGCTTGGAAGCCCAGGGAAACACTACTGGCAGCATGGTGCTGGTTTGCTTAGCTGTTTTGGGGTACATGTGTGCAAGATCTCAGCTTCTATGTCTGGGATTGCTGATTCAGTCCCAGAAGAAGGTGCTGGCTTGGTACCACCTTTTGAAGCCACCAAGAACTCCTATAGACATTACAAATAATGAGTTCCCACAAGCATTCATGCTATGCAATTACTTGTTTTGCAAAAATGATATGGTCACTTTTAGCTTAATAATTGATAAGTATTTAGTGACTATATTTATTTATTTTGGCATGAACATTCATTCAGGCATGAACTTTTCTAGACAACACAGAACATTTTCTCTTATTTTTCCGGACTAAGATGGATATTTAATTTTCTGGAATTCATGTCCATAAAGATTTTATTAATTATCAATAATTTCAAAGGGTGGATTTCATCCTCAGACATTTGCTGTGGTTCTGTAATTAAAAATTCCATAGTGTATTTATGCATCAACATGTATAACTCCAGTTTAGCATCATTTGAAGACTGCTTTGAGAGATAAATATATGGCATGATCTGACAACCCTATAGAGGTACATAGTAGTTTGTTCTTGTCCTGCTACATTTCCCCTTTTTTCCCCTTGACCACAAGTGTATATGCATTTTATCTTTTCTGGGTGTTTTTAAAAAGACATCAATAGTTTATGATGTGGTTTGCATGTTTTTGTGGATCTTTGGTCCTTTTTGCATTTTCTATAATTTTTGTCATGAGTTGCATTCTGTGCCACAACAGCACCCAAATGATGTACAATATCAATAATAGCTAAACTACTAAGTATTTGTTAAACTATTATTGATGGTCTAGAAGTGTTTTAAGGAACTCTGACCCCAAACCAAAGCTTGGTTCATCTCAGATATTTGGAATAACAACTCATTCCTCTTATGCTTTGGGGTTTTTTTCCACTTTAGTGAAGATGGACATAGGAAGACAGATTGAAACACATTGAAATTCTGTATTTATCTGTTGCAAAACGACTCTGTACAGCAGGCAGATTAACAGACTGCATTATAAGTAGCCCACATTTGAGCTTCACTTCATTTCAAATGGTCAAAACTTTCTCAGTTGAATTGGTTTAGATGATTGATTTTCGATCAGATATAATTTTGCATTGAAAGGCAGAAAGAGGAGGAAAAAACTAATTTGCAAGCATGAGAATGAAAATGAAGAGTGGTAGAGATAGAACGTTTCTCTTCAGTCCATATAGGAATGTTGCTTTTTCGGCTTGAACTATTTTTATTCTTTATATATTTCAATTTTCAAAGCAAGTTCACTTGAAAAGACTTCCACTTCCATCTGATATGAACTGTTGAGCTGATTCTTTAAGTTACCAACTCAGCAATTCTTGAGGATCTGGCTTAATGGTCTCAGCACTTATGCAAGGACATAGCCAACGTGCCTGGTAAGATTTCCCCCAGCGAGACTTGCAGATGGATTTTGCTCCTGTTTACATCAGGGAGACTGCCATAATTGAGTGCTAAAGTACATTACAGTTGATTAAAAGTCCTGTTTTAGAGACATACTGTGGTCTGGATTGCATGCTGTGGAAGTCTGGTCTGTAGTTGACCTTACTTAGCTTCTGCAGAACCTAGAGCAGAAATTGAATGGGGCAGGCTGGCCCAATATGCTTGTTTGGAAGAACATTACATTCTAAGAGTTTATAACGCAAAGTTCTAACCTGCAGCTTCCCAGTGAGCATACAACTAGACAAACAGGCAAACAAGATAGTCTATGCTAATTTTCCTGTTTTTCATTGTGAGGAAAACGTTTTATGAGTACAGAACACCTTTGCATCTTTCGTCCCCATTGCAAGCTCAAGACTTCTTAACAAATGAATGTCCTTTATACCTTTTAAAATCAGGGAAGAAATTTTGAGCTCAGTGCATATCTTGACTCTTGAAAGAGAAATTATTTAAATAATGTACATTTTGTAGAGGAGTGGGGGGTTGCCTGAAGCCTGCTTATTAGTTAATAACCTCCTCCTACCTCCCAGCGCTAATCTTGTAAAGATCCTGATTTAATAAATCCAAAGAATTATTAAATAAACTAAGTATTTTATATTACTTGTCCTCTTTGAATCCAAATTGCAATACAACAGAATTACATTTTATAAATAACACCTTTCATACTAGCACCACAGGGCATGGTACAAAAGAATCTAAATAGAACGTGAATGCTGTAATCAAATGCAGACCCCAGGAAGGCAGATTGAAAAGGCATGTTTCTGGTTAAAGGAACAGACAGGGTAAGTATAGAGGGTCACAGCA